GTGTGTGTGTGTGTGTGTGTGTGATTCTCTCTCTCTCTCTGAGTGTGTGTGTGTGTGTGTGTGTGTGTGTGATTCTCTCTCTCTCTCTCTGAGTGTGTGTGTGGTGTATGTGATAGTCTCTCTCTCTCTGGCAGAATGTTAATAGAATAATAATTGTAATGCAGAAGATCAAATAAATAAACCGAGGAAGATATTAATGAGCTTTAAGACGGTCTCTGTCTATCTGAAGTTTCACTTTGCCAGAGCAATAACGTTTATCACAGACACACATGTAAAAGCTAATAAAATAACAGCAGTAAGAAGGAAAAGGAAAAGCAGATCTATTTTCTGATTTAATTGTGTGTCTGTGGAATATAGTGATCTGTGACTGTTTACAGTCATTAGGACACATTTCTCAGTGTTCTTCACACAGTCCTCCTGTCTTTCAGCTTGACACAGCAGTTCATTCCACATTCAGTAAAACTACCAAAACACTTCATTAATGCCTCAAATCAGGTCATTCTAACAGAACTCTAGCTAAGAGTTTCACTTTATCACTCATTACACAACAACCTAAAAACACCAACAACAGGAGGCATTATACATTGTTTGCTTTAGTAACGTTTCTTTACAAAACGAGAATAATACTGTTTATACTTCACTGCAGTATATCTTACATGCTCCATGTTTACGTTATAGTACAGAATTATTCCTAAGTTTTCCCCTTTTGTACAGATGTAATGAACGTGAAAGACTAACACTTGTGAAGATGTTCAGCAACTGCTTTGATAGTATTTCATTTTTTACGTTCAGAACATTTTTCTATGTATTACTGTAGAAATGTTGCAGATTTTTTTTTTTTTTTTACTGTGCTAGGTTTTGAATTTAAGCTTAACAGTTCTGAAAACAACATGTAAATTGGCTTGTATAGTGCATAAGGAGTTGGTGGTGTTTGTGTGGAAGTGATAAAAGAGTTCATGTAATTTGACAGATGTGGTCAATGAATGCAGGAGTGCCAAAGCAGTGATAAATGATCCACAGTTCAGCCACAGAGACCGATGCTGTGCTCGCTGTCTGAAGAGTTGTGACCGAAGTATTGAGAAATGTGTCCTAGCCATCCTAAAAACTGTATTAGCTTGAATATCAAAGTGATGTCTGTTTGTGCACACTTTCATGTTTCTAGATTTGTGGAGTAAAAGTTACAGTTTTTATCAGTTTGATGGGACGCCGAATGGCATGTTGATACTTGTGTTATTATTTACATTCAATACGAATTCTGTCATTCTTGTTTATTATTTAGTAAAAACGAATATTAAGTGAAATTGTTTAATTTGCATTCACAGTGTTGCTATTATGACATATCTTCAATTAAAATACGGGCAATCAAATATGTAAATGTTGGTATCTCGCGCCTCTTCTGTGGTGACGTCACCAGTCAGCGTTGGATCTGGAGCGGTTGAAGAGCTGTTATTATCTGCTGTGCAGCCGCGAGGAATGTGTGTGTGATGAAGGGCAGCTGCGCGCGGGATCCAGGTGTGTGTGTCTCTCTGTGCATTCAGACGCGCGTCACGTGCGGCGGAGCTCCGTCTGGCGCGGCGGTCGCTCGCGGGATGGACGCGTCGGCGCGGCGCTGAGCGGCTCCGGGATGCGGCGGTGTGCGACTCTACTGATGATCGCGCTGACGGCGGGTGAGTGCATGCAATCTCACATTAACACCGACGACTACAGACTGACGTCCGATCGAGGCGCGCTTAACGCTGGAGCGACTTCACTGAAGATTATAGAAATGACTGAATCATGATGAATGGCCTGGGATGCTAATGAGCTTTAATCTTATGCCGAATTACACGCTGAAATAAATCAACAGTTAAAGCCTCGTTTGAATTAGTTCGGTTAAATGAGTTTTAGCTCCGCTTATTCATGGGTTGAGAAGAAAATACTGAGACTGTAACACTTATTAACGATGCTTAATTGTGCCTTCATTTCTCAAAAGAATGACTTGTTTGTGGTTCATTTTTAATATTTTAAAGTAGCACGACATGTGGATATGAATAGATTTATGGATGATGACTGATACAGTTAAATATTCATTTTCCAGATTTTTAAACTGTTCTTCACTGCTGTTATTATGTGTATTATGTGTCAGATAATACGTGATTCACTTGTAAACTGGAAAGATGTTAATGATTTTTTTTTCTATTTAAACAACTGTATTAATGTGAAGTGTTCAGTATTCTAAGCAAATTCAAAAGAGATGATAAAACACTTGCCGGTCTGGCTCATATTTCACCTTTTTTAGATAAATAAATATATTAACATAATACAAAAAAAATAGCTCTCATTTTCTATACAATTAAACAAATTTTTTTTCTAATTTACTTTGGAGTTTGTTAGATTAGATTCAAATTACTGTTATGTGTTAAAGATAATCCTGTCAAAAACAAACAAACAGAATAAATAAATGAATAAATAATAATAATAATACATTTTAAAATAGATATTATTCTAATCCGCATAAATTCAGGCAGTAAAACGAATGTATATCTATGATGAATAAATACTTAATTTCAATGTTATTTTTCCTGTGAAAGTAATCAGAATGAGATTTTTGTTTTTATTATTTTCATCATGCAGAATTGTGGGAAATTATTTTAAATTGTGCTCAGTGAGTGTAGAAATCCAAATCATAGTTTTAGAACATATTTAATGCATGTTTTATTTAAACCGCGCATCTGGGAGCATTGCATTCAATTTCAGATGAACTCCAGTCCGAGTTATTCAGTTTATCATGGATTTGTTTGAAGAAATGCAATGAATTCTAGTAATTACAAATTACAAACTTGCCCTAATGTAAGAAAATATGAATGAAGTGTATCTGTCATTTCTATTAATTATTTAACCAACAAATGAATAGAGTTGCCCTACACTGTCTGCCCGCGTCATTGAACAGTATTCACTGGATAAAAACAAAATAAAAATCACAGTATGAAAGTTAAAGGCGACACAAACCTGTGTGCAGAAATCACAGGCGATGATGATGATGGTGTGTGTGTGTTTGTGTGTGAGTGTGTGTGTGTGTGAGTGAGTGTGTGTGTGTGTGAGTGAGTGTGTGTGTGTGTGAGTGAGTGTGTGTGTGTGTGAGTGAGTGTGTGTGTGTGTGAGTGAGTGTGTGTGTGTGTGAGTGAGTGTGTGTGTGTGTGAGTGAGTGTGTGTGTGTGTGAGTGAGTGTGTGTGTGTGTGAGTGAGTGTGTGTGTGTGTGAGTGAGTGTGTGTGTGTGTGAGTGAGTGTGTGTGTGTGTGAGTGAGTGTGTGTGTGTGTGAGTGAGTGTGTGTGTGTGTGAGTGAGTGTGTGTGTGTGTGAGTGAGTGTGTGTGTGTGTGAGTGAGTGTGTGTGTGTGTGAGTGAGTGTGTGTGTGTGTGAGTGAGTGTGTGTGTGTGTGAGTGAGTGTGTGTGTGTGTGAGTGAGTGTGTGTGTGTGTGAGTGAGTGTGTGTGTGTGTGAGTGAGTGTGTGTGTGTGTGAGTGAGTGTGTGTGTGTGTGAGTGAGTGTGTGTGTGTGTGAGTGAGTGTGTGTGTGTGTGAGTGAGTGTGTGTGTGTGTGAGTGAGTGTGTGTGTGTGTGAGTGAGTGTGTGTGTGTGTGAGTGAGTGTGTGTGTGTGTGAGTGAGTGTGTGTGTGTGTGAGTGAGTGTGTGTGTGTGTGAGTGAGTTTGTGTGTGTGTGAGTGTGTGTGTGTGTGTGTGTGTGCGCAGGCGTGAGTGTGGCGCTGCAGATCCAGTGCTATCAGTGTGAAGACGTTCGGCAGGACGACTGCTCCTCGCCAGAGTTCATCGTTAACTGCACCGTCAATGTGCAGGACATGTGTCAGAAGGAAGTGCTAGTCATGGAGGACGGTAAGGACGCCGCATCACTTCCTGTTCTGCTTGTTGCTATGGTGAAGCGCTAGTCTTGTTAGCTGACCGATGATGATGATGATGGTGTTTGCATGTGCAGTGAACGCTGCTGTGCTCGTAGAAAATCGGTAGTGCAGATATTTCACACAGTACTTTAGCACTGTCAGCATGAGGTTCAGAAGAAAGAGCAGAACCCTCATGATGTAACAGACCGAAGTCATAGCAGTCGTAGCACACAAATGAAGCTTTATTAACAAAGCAATTTTCATGAATGAAATGAGCTGATATCAGACAGACGGGAGTGTCTGTAGATGCTGTGTGTATGAAACAGATGGAGCGCCACCTCCTTCACTGCTCCTTCATCTGCTCCTTCATCTGCTCCTTCACTGCTCCTTCACGGCTCCTTCATCTGCTCCTTCATCTGCTCCTTCACTGCTCCTTCACGGCTCCTTCATCTGCTCCTTCATCTGCTCCTTCACTGCTCCTTCACGGCTCCTTCATCTGCTCCTTCATCTGCTCCTTCACTGCTCCTTCACGGCTCCTTCATCTGCTCCTTCATCTGCTCCTTCACTGCTCCTTCACGGCTCCTTCATCTGCTCCTTCATCTGCTCCTTCACTGCTCCTTCACGGCTCCTTCATCTGCTCCTTCATCTGCTCCTTCACTGCTCCTTCACGGCTCCTTCATCTGCTCCTTCATCTGCTCCTTCACTGCTCCTTCACGGCTCCTTCATCTGCTCCTTCATCTGCTCCTTCACTGCTCCTTCACGGCTCCTTCATCTGCTCCTTCATCTGCTCCTTCACTGCTCCTTCACGGCTCCTTCATCTGCTCCTTCATCTGCTCCTTCACTGCTCCTTCACGGCTCCTTCATCTGCTCCTTCATCTGCTCCTTCACTGCTCCTTCACGGCTCCTTCATCTGCTCCTTCATCTGCTCCTTCACTGCTCCTTCACGGCTCCTTCATCTGCTCCTTCATCTGCTCCTTCACTGCTCCTTCACGGCTCCTTCATCTGCTCCTTCATCTGCTCCTTCACTGCTCCTTCACGGCTCCTTCATCTGCTCCTTCATCTGCTCCTTCACTGCTCCTTCACGGCTCCTTCATCTGCTCCTTCATCTGCTCCTTCACTGCTCCTTCACGGCTCCTTCATCTGCTCCTTCATCTGCTCCTTCACTGCTCCTTCACGGCTCCTTCATCTGCTCCTTCATCTGCTCCTTCACTGCTCCTTCACGGCTCCTTCATCTGCTCCTTCATCTGCTCCTTCACTGCTCCTTCACGGCTCCTTCATCTGCTCCTTCATCTGCTCCTTCACTGCTCCTTCACGGCTCCTTCATCTGCTCCTTCATCTGCTCCTTCACTGCTCCTTCACGGCTCCTTCATCTGCTCCTTCATCTGCTCCTTCACTGCTCCTTCACGGCTCCTTCATCTGCTCCTTCATCTGCTCCTTCACTGCTCCTTCACGGCTCCTTCATCTGCTCCTTCATCTGCTCCTTCACTGCTCCTTCACGGCTCCTTCATCTGCTCCTTCATCTGCTCCTTCACTGCTCCTTCACGGCTCCTTCATCTGCTCCTTCATCTGCTCCTTCACTGCTCCTTCACGGCTCCTTCATCTGCTCCTTCATCTGCTCCTTCACTGCTCCTTCACGGCTCCTTCATCTGCTCCTTCATCTGCTCCTTCACTGCTCCTTCACGGCTCCTTCATCTGCTCCTTCATCTGCTCCTTCACTGCTCCTTCACGGCTCCTTCATCTGCTCCTTCATCTGCTCCTTCACTGCTCCTTCACGGCTCCTTCATCTGCTCCTTCATCTGCTCCTTCACTGCTCCTCACTGCTCCTCACTGCTCCTCCACTGCTCCTTCATCTGCTCCTCCACTGCTCCTTCATCTGCTCCTCCACTGCTCCTTCACTGCTCCTCACTGCTCCTCACTACTCCTCCACTGCTCCTCCACTGCTCCTTCACTACTCCTCCACTGCTCCTTCACTGCTCCTCACTGCTCCTTCATCTGCTCCTCACTGCTCCTTCATCTGCTCCTTCATCTGCTCCTCCACTGCTCCTCACTGCTACTCCACTGCTCCTTCATCTGCTCCTTCATCTGCTCCTCCACTGCTCCTCACTGCTACTCCACTGCTTCTTCATCATCTGCTGCTCTGACCGCAGTGTGTGGCGCTAACAGAAACTCTCAGAATGAACAACTCCTGGCAGACTGTGACTGCAGTGAGCGCTGGAGGCTGAAAGCTAGTGTTAATGTCAGTGAGCTTTATGCTGGAAATCGGCTGCTGCTCATGCGACGCTCCTTCAGATGCTGATCTGAGTTTAGCTCATGTCAGTGCCATTCCCTATTTGTAAGAAAGCAGTCCAGACTACTAATGACTTACAGGAAGACTCATTCCTCACTGTTTGTTTCAGTACAGCTGGAGGTGTGTGTGTTTGTGTCATATTATCAAATAATACAGCAGGACAAACTACATTCACACACAATTATTAACAAAAAAATAATTATATTTCTATTAGGCAAAAAATATCAACACAAGACAACTTTTTTTTTAAATCAACCAATAACTTTAAGGCAAACAGTCCGTCTTAAATCCTTTATTGAAAATAATACACCCAGCTGCAAAGAAAAGTGCATCTAATGATGATCAAATCAAAGGATTTAACTGAAGCTTTCAGTCTGGTTCCAGTGTTCATTTTACACAGTTTTCTGTTTTATTCATAGTTTTTGTCTTTTGATAAAAATATACTCAATATTTCATCATGTGATGTTCATTATTTTTTACTTTGATTTCCTCTTACTAAAATGGCATGGTAATGGTATTCATGTTGAAATTAATATGTTTAAATAATAGATTTCATTGTGATCTTCCTTGTCAACCAAAATATTATTTTTGTCAGCTAAAGTAAGGGCAATGCAGTGCTGTGCGGTTTATGTGTTGTGCCCTCTAGTGGGCTGTCGATGATAAAGTAGTAGTTCAACTCTGTCGCATTGATGCTTAAACTGAAGGAAATGATGATTGACAATTAATGCATAAAGAAAATGAAGCCTACTTTTAGGACCTTTTTTGCATTGTCACATTGTTTTCATGACATTTACGTTTCCAGATTCTCATTACAGTAATGCATCTGGACATTTTACTTTGGAGTTTGTAATTACTGATCGTTTCCTTTTACTGTAAAAATACAGCGATGCAACAACATTAAGATTTCAGACAACATACAGGCAGAGCAACAAACAATGATGTTTTATTAACAAAGTTCAGGAGGAGCACGTTCAGATAATTAACCTAATTAATTACTCTGTGCTCGGAGCCCTCCCCTCGGACAGCATGCCAAATATGCATAACCTTTACTCTGTTTATTATATGTAAGTGTGAACTTGTGAATTATCATATAATTCATAAAACAGTTTAATGCAGAAAATCTTAATGATCTTAAAAATGTTCTTTATGCTTAGTTCTGTGTGCTGACTGTTGTGATTCTGTCTGTGCAGGGATTCACTACAGGAAGTCGTGTGCGTCGTCGGGGGCGTGTCTGATCGCGTCATCGGGCTACCAGCAGTTCTGCACGGGGAAGCTGAACTCTGTCTGCATCACCTGCTGCAACACGGCACTCTGCAACGGCCCACGGCACAAGAGAAGACCGGCGTCCCACGCCTGCAGACCCTCCGTCTGCTGCTACGCCAGCCCGCTGCTCGGCCTCATGCTGCTCTACTTCTGCTCGCACTGACGTGTGTGTGTGTGTGTGTGTGTGTGAGAGAGAGAGACTCACGATGGAGCGCAGCTTTAGAGAGCGTCTGCTGGCAGGAGCAGCTCTCACACATTACAGCGTCTGTCTGTGTGCTTCCCTTCATTCTCATATTAATGAACCTGTGGGCGGGGCTTCCTCATTTAATCCCACCAATCACAGCACACACACAGAGATACACACTGGCACTCCACTGACAGCAGGACAATCCTCTTCGTCAAACATCGTCAGCTAGAATAGACATTACTCGACTAACTATCATTTATATCATTACTTCTTAATTACATGATAAATGATACATTGAATTCTATATCATTGTAATAGAATTACGTATTATATATATATAGCCATGTATAGGCATAAACTTTTAAAACGGTGTTACTGAACATTTTCAACCAAGGACAAAAGATGCAGTTCACCAAACACACACTGCCATTTAGGGGCATGTTGTCACACTATATGGGATAAATTGTCACAGTGAGGACAAACTATCCTGAAACAAAACAAAACAAAAACACCAAGCTCTTGTTTTGGCTAATAGTAATGTATAAATGAGGTCTGACGGACAGGTGAGGAACTCTACAGTCCTGATCGAAACACCTGACAGACATATAAAGACGTCTTGCTGTTCACTTTCACTAAACTCTTTCTTCACACACTTATGACTGTAAACCCTATCACTATGAAGCAGGCCTCGTCTCCCCTATATATCCGTGTCTACGTCTACTCTGTTGTGTTATTATTGTTATGTTAGAGTATGTGAATGATGCGGTGCCTCAGCTCCGCTCACGCTAAACATTCATCAGCACACTTCACACACAAACCAGTCCTGTCAATCCTATAATCCGCAAGAGGTTTCCTTCCTCTCGGTTCCTCCGTATCTTCTGTCGTGTTGGTGTTCATCACGCGCTCTCCAGCATCTTCTGCTCTTCCGTGACTGTGATGTTGAGATCATCATGAGGATGGAAACTCTTGAAGATCTGATCGCTGGAGACGGTGTTTGTCTGATGGGAAGGACGCAACGCTCTCATGTAGCTTCTGAATACAAATAAGACCTTTCATCTCTAATATTTGTATGCATGCAGAGGGTTTCTAAAGGTAAATGTATGCATATACATAAGGAACCAGTCAGCGCTTTGGACACGTCTGATTGAACATATATTTGATCAAATGTGTTAAATTATATGTGTGTGAGGGATAATATAGAGTCATTGTCTCAAAATAATGGTTACTCAAATAAATAAAATCATGGACAACACATTGATTTGAGTTTAAATTATTATCTGACTTCACTGCTGTAAAGTGCTGTTCTTCCTCAGTAGTTTTGTCTGTTTTCCAGCAAAAATGTCTTAAGACCAAGATGCATCTACTGGAGATCTGAAAACACTTACGATATTAAAGCTTGTTAACCTTATTTTGATTACAAATTAAATTAATTTTTTCTGACCACATTGGCAGACATTTTTGTCATTTAAACTTAAACTTGATACATTTTCCAGTATGAGTGTGTGTGTGTGAGTGTGAGTGTGTGTGTGTGTGTGTGAGTGTGTGAGTGTGAGGGTGTGTGTGTGTGAGGATTGTGTGTGTGTGTGTGCGAGTGTGAGAGTGTGTGTGTGTGTGTGAGTGTGATTGTGTGTGTGTGTGTGTGTGAGTGAATATGTGAGTAACACATGCGAGCAAATATAGGGGACTTGTGAATGTATGTTAGCCATGTGTACCTGTCGTCTTGCAAAATGACTTCCCAAGGTATTTGGATTCTGTTTTTGTTGCTTGTCTTGTGGATCCAATAAAAGAATAAATGTGATTCTCAGCCTGCAGTTCCACTGCTGGGAACCCAAAGGGTGTCATTAATGCAGACTCTAGTGTGAGGGGTCTATTTTTATCTGATGTTGGTTCTAAGATCTGAAGCAGCGGTCTGATCTCATGAGGAAGAGCACCGAACCTCAGCGCACTGGTTTCCTCTCCTTGAGGCTTGTTTTCTCCAGAGACTTTGCTCTGGAGTTATCAGATATTTATCGGACGCTCGTGCCGCACACGTGAGGCATGATGGGATTGACCATGATGATTGCTGTGGGCGGTGATTTCACCCGTGACATCAGAGCTCCTGTGCAGCTTCTCCTAACTCAGCACAGCTCTTAATCTTCATCTTCATCTCATATGCTGTCAGTATTGATCAGAATAACAGAGGACAAACAGCGCAACTGCACTCGCGGCCAGCCGAGTTTGATTCCCGTCTCGTGGTCCTTTGCCCTTCCCCTCTCTCTGCCCAGTGCTTTCCTGTCAGCTCTCCACTGTCCTATCACATTAAAATTAGAGTATAGAAATCATGGAGGACTCCAGATGGACGGCTCTGTTCTCATGAAACCCTGCTGACTGTGAGCTGGAGAACATCTCAACCTAGTTGTCTTAAATGTAGATGTAGCAAGTTTAAGGCCATAAAAAGTCTCAAATGCCTTAAATGGTGCAAGAAAAGTATTTGTTATCATTTCAAGAGGTCTTTGAGTTTCAAACTCAAAATGCAACGTGGGTGTTTTTTTAATATGAATGTACCTCTGAAGGAAACCGACTGTCTTCAAAATGATGTCATTTTTTAATTTTATCTGGTAAAGTAGCGTTTATGTGTGGGCCAGTGGAGGGAATGTGGCCAGGACACCGGGGTTACACCTCTACTCTTTACCAGAAGTGCCATGGGCTTTTTAATGACCACAGAGAGTCAGGACCTCGGTTTAACGTCTTATCCGAAGGACAGTGCTGTTGACAGTATTGTGTCCCCGTCACTACACTGGGGCGTTAGAGCCCACACAGACCACAGGGTGAGTGCCCCCTGCTGGCCTCACTAACACCTCTTCCAGCAGCAATCTAGTTTTCCCAGGAGTCTCCCATCCCAAGTAGGTATAACTGCAGACCGGAGATCTCCAAAATGGGGCTTGAACTCCAAAAGTGGGCAGGACCTCCAAAATGGGGCGGGGTCTCCTCGTGCAAAGACTTTCACCATTGGCTCTGGCTCCAGCCAATTGTTATTGACTTACATTTCAAAATAAAACTTTATAAATTAAACATTGTTTCTAGTTCATCTAAAATAAAATATGCTATATAAGTAAATATTCTCCATAAGAGCAGAGCCCAAAGCTCGTGGCCAGTGGTGTTCGGACTGGAGTTTGAACCTCTGCTTCATGATATAAACGGGAATCACCCACGAGCTCTCCCGCGAGCCGTCCCAGCGCAGCGCAGGGGAAAGACTTTAATCTCTATCCCTTTGTTCTAAGCAGCGGGGGCGTCCCGGGGCACGAGATTCGCAGGGTAGGAGGGGGTAGTGATGCTGGGTGTAACTAAAAAGGTGCCATTGTCCGGTGAGGTCCGGTTGGGGAGTTACAGAACGATCTCATATCGCATAATCTTATTAACTGTTTATCTCCTGATCCAGGTACTGACCAGCTCAACCCTGCTTAGCTTCAGTGGATGACCAGTCTTGGGCTACAGCGTGATATGGCTGTGTGTATGTACATATATATATATGATTGCTGTCATTTCTCTTCTGCGAGACTGAAAGAAAGTCACAGGATTTCCAGGACAGGTAAGGTTGTGTTTTATAAGAGTAACTCGTGAGTTTGGGTCAGATGCAGAACCAGAGCAGCTTTTATATCTGAATATCTGTATCTGAACAGGTCAAAGACGAACGCCATTCAGCCATTCACAGGCTTAGGGTGATAAATAATAATAATAATAATAATAATAGGGTACAACGGGGCTAAAGGCGCCCTGGGTAAAAAGATTCTTTGATATTATTTTCCTCTAAACCACTAGATGGCACAAAAACGTAGCGTAGCACTTTCCAAAACATCCGCTTTTCAAGATGCACGTGTATATTTGTCTGATCTTTGACGCGATCGCGCGCAGCAGCGCAAAGTTGATTCTGTGCTTACTTGATCTAATATTTTATGTTTTTAAAATGTTGTAGATTTAAGTAGCAAATGAGAATCGCTAAAATTAATGCATATATTTTGAGACAAAGGTCTTCTTTATGATTTTCAGTTTTGTTTTAGATAATTAAAGCAACAGTTTTTAAATAACAAAAGAATATGTAAAAGTATGGTATTTTAGCCCCCTGCTGTTGGGGCTAAA